ATCATGTTTCATAGTCACATGGATATAATTTAAATTTAGAAATGATTGTCAAACTCCTTCGCTACGATTATTTATTATGGTCTTTGCCGATCAATGATTATCAATTAATTTGACCGATAAAAAATCCGATAAAAAAAAAATTTAAAATAAAAAAAGCGAAGCATATCAGTACCGTATTTGCGCGTAATAGCGGGCCGGGGCGTTAATTTGAATTTTGACTTTTTAAAAAAATTAACCATATTACCCGAAATATCGCCCATGCGCGTCCCGAAATATCGCGCACCCACCTTATGTAACATAGTGCTCAAAACGGATTCATATCATTTCGCCAACAATCACTTCAAATCCTACATTTACCGAAATCACTTCACCGACAAGCTTATTTTGCAAACGATTAATTTAAAGACAAGTTCATTTCGTAGGCAGTATATTTCATCGACAGCTTATTTCGCAAGTTTTTTTTATAATTGCTTTAACCTTAACCCCTAACCTTAATGACATTGACTAGAATTCCTTGTCTGTGATATATACTGTCTACGAAATGAACTTATCTGTATGTAAAATAAGCTTGTCGGTGAAGTAAGTTCGATGTCTTTGATGTGTTTGTCGGTAAGTTTGTCGGAACCAATTTCAAATATTGGTACAGGATTTCAAAAAACTCACATTTTGACTCAAAATAAAGCGCATGCGTATTTCAAAATAACGCGCAGGGGTCCAAAATAACATGCAGGGGGCATTATTATGCGCAAATACGGTATAAGTATATTGTATACAATATATATTTATTTACAAGTGATGTCAGCTGTATTTTTTTTATGGGCGATGCCAGGTTTGCTGACGGTGATTATACTTAGACGTCTAAGTTGATTTTTAAAGATTGACTTAGTCAAGTCGATAAATTAGGCAGATCTGCACAGTCTAGTAAGAACAGATGCTTTTCAAATTTTCAGTTTTAAAATACTGAAATATGGGATAGTGATGCAAAATGGCTCTGCATAGCTGTGAGCCAATCGGCTTAGCCAAGCTAATTTTCGGCTCAGCTAACTAACGGCTCAGCTAACCAATGGCTCGGCTTGTGTTATATGAAGCCAGTTTAAAGCCGTGAGCCAATATTATAATTACAGTAATAGTAATTAATATTAATAATAAGCTATAATAAACTATAACGATGATGATAATAAAGACAATAAAATTAATTAATAAACTATAAGAAACTATAATGATAATCGAATATTTCATAATATCATAAAGATGATAAATAGCCTTTTCTTTTTTTTCATTAATCGTACTCTTACAATAATCGTAATAATCGTATACTTACAAACAATAATCGTAAAATAGATCTTGACAACCCTTCTGGTATTAATTCTCCAGATTTTCAAGACTCTTTACAATATACGTCTGATAATAATATAGCTAGTTCAAGCACAAGTGTTGCCACCCTTTCTCCACTTACCAGAAATAAAAAAAAATCTGTGATCACACCATATAGATTTCCTCGCAATCCAGGCAACGACAGTGCCTTCTGAACAAATATTCTCAAAGGCAGGTAACACTATCCGGGTTAAACATGTACATCTTCTGAAAAAAGTGTACAGGCATTAATGTGTACTGGCTCATAGTTGGAACACAGAATTAGATTTCAAAGGGATTGATTTTTTTTAATTATGTTTATTTTATTTTTTAAGATAATTTTTTTTAAAAAGATATTTTTTAGTTTTTTTTTTATAAAAAAATATTATTATTAGTTCTTTTTTTCTTCCAAAAAATATTTTTTTAAAAAAAAATTTTAATTATGTGTTCTTGTTCTATATTTTACATGCTTGCAAATTATGAATTATAATGATATTTGTATGTATATATGTACATATATTTCTGTTAAAATAATTGAAAATACATTTTTTTATAACGATAACAGTAATTAAATTGGAGCTGCAGCTCTTGTCGGCTCGGCTATAGAACAGCTCGGCTAAAAAGCGGCTCGGCTAAAAAGCAGCTCAGTTCATTATGATTGAGCCGTAGCCGAGCTGGAGCCAGCCGTTTGCATCACTAATATGGGGGTTGCTTATTTTCATTAAGGTCACACAAAATTGATTCTTCGTTTTGCACAACCCATTCAAGTTTTCAAAAAAAAAACAAAAAAAAATTTTTTTCAAAGTGCCAATTGTGCCAGTTATTCCATTTTGCCATATATATTTTTTTTCCCCGACGGAGCGATAGGACCTCAAAAAAACAGACCCCGATCCAAGTTTCAGATTCCATGTTATGCAAAACGAAAAATTAATTATAGTCTAATATCCTAATATAGGGTAATTTAAAATTTGAATGATCGACAAATTTGACCGGAATTATAACCGATGGGTTCCTTTATTTATTAGACTGCAAATCCGCCGATATTAAAAGCTATGGTATTTTGCATTTATTAAAAAAATATCTTCTAAAATTAATTTTAGAAATTAAACTAGTATATTAAACTAATATACCAATAAATAAATCACAATGCGAGCTACAAGACAACGTGCCCCAAATTCCACGCCATTCAATCAGATGATCACTAAAATTAGTGTTAGGGGCATGAATTTATCACTAAAATCACTAGCTAACATTAGGGATTTATGGTGCACGAAAATAATTTGGTATGATACTAAAAATTCTTATTCAGGTACGTACGTAACAAAATTTTGGTTAGTAACCTGATAATCTATTAGCTTCTTTGTGCTTGAATTTTCTGCTCGACATCGGTTAGGCACCGATGTATTGTTGGCCATGAAGTCTGCTCGTTCAATAGAAATTCTTTGATGAGCAATAATGATACTTATTCTACTCTACGAAGCTATAACATATTAAGAAAAGTGAATTCCAGAATCTCAAACATCTATGAAATAAAAATCATATTTAATTATAAACTGTAGTACGAAATAAAGAGCTTTTTTTTTTTTTTTATGGCCTAATAAAAATAAAATAAATTAATCATAGATTTCATTTTCTCAAAAACCAATTAAGGTTGGCCCAATTCATATTTAGGGTTAGCTTATTTAAAGTAACGTTGGTTAGAATTAAGAGTCGGTGAAACAAGGTGAATCCCAATTAATTGAACTTGTTAGTCGATTTTTTAAAAAGACGTACGTACGTACGTACAACTTAGACACAGATGCAAAGCTAAAAAATAAGGATACGCCTTTTTCGTTAAGTCGTTATCTTAACGTCTTTGTTATTGAACTATTGAACTATATCAAGGACTGCTAAACCTTTGTAATTTTGTACCATCAAATATTTATGATCACGTGCTTTTAACTGGAAATAAAGCATTCACGTAAAAAGCCTCTCTGTATTATATCCGGAGCTACACTGGCGATTTATGGTGACTGAGTCGAAATGTCAATATCTGATGTCTAATCCTGGTTTTAAATAAATTGTGTTTCTTTTTTTGTTAAATGCGGCATTTTTTATTGAAACATATAAATGTTAAGATCTGAAATATGTAATTGGCCTTTTATCATATTATAATAGTTTTTAGTGTATAGTAAAGTCTTCATACAAGAGTTTCTTTTTTAGGTACATTAGAATGTTGATATTCTATGCTGCGTTACATTCAACATATAATTGTTAGAACTTTTAATTTATTATCTTTATTTGGTAATATTATTATTTTTTTTATTCATTAATATTATTTTTAAACATTTAAATACCCTCCAGTTACCTCAATGCTACCACATAAACCATCCATATTTTTCGCTCTTAAAACAAAAAAAAAAATGAAAGCATCGCCAATCCATCAACTTTTATTACTCTCATTTACAATTTTATCAATAGTTTTTTCAGTCACGACCGCGGCAAAGGTAGAATTCGCATATGTTGGGGAGAAAGGACCTGCGTTTTGGCATCAACTAGAAGGCTCTTCTTCATTATGTCTGGAAGGCCTTCATCAATCTCCCATTGACATTATCCCAACCGATTATTCTAAATCACAAATCCATCCTCCGTCTGATGTTCGAGTTAAAGATGTTGAGGAGGCAGAATTAGCTCATATTGTGACCACGCTT